GATCTCAGCTCACTGCAATCCCAGCCTCCTCAGTTCAAGCGATTGTCATGCCTCAGCCTCCCGAGTAGCTGGGATTACAGGCATGCGCCACCACGCCTGGCTAATTTTTGTATTTTTAGTAGAGATGGGGTTTCACCGTATTGGCCAGGCTGGTCTTGAACTCCTGACCCCAAATGATCCACCAGCCTTGGCCTTCCAAAATGCTGGGATTACACCTATAAAGGTGTAAATCACCGTACCTGGCCAATACTGTTCTTTTCATAATCAAATGAGACTAAATCAAAATCACATGGTTTAGAAAGTGGATATTGAGGTGTGTGCTTTTTCTTTTCTTTCTTTCTTTTTTTTTTTTGAGACAGTCTTGCTCTGTCACCCAGGCTGGAGTGCAGTGGCATGATCTCGGCTCACTGCAACCTCTGTCTCCCGGGTTCAAGCAATTCTGTTGCCTCAGCCTCCTGAGTAGCTGGGACTACAGGTGCATGCCACCACACCTGGCTGATTTTTTGTATTTTTAGTAGAGATGGGGTTTCACTGTTAGCCAGGATGGTCTCCATCTCTTGACCTTGTGATCCGCCCACCTTGGCCTCCCAAAGTGCTGGGATTATAGGCGTGAGCCACCGTACCTGGCTTTTTTTTGAGACAGGGTCTCCCTCTGTCTCCCAGGCTAGAGTGCAGTGCCTCGATCTTGGCTCGCTGCAGCCTCTGCCTCCCAGGTTCAAGCGATTCTCCTGTCTCAGCCTCCTGAGCAGCTGGGATTACAGGGGCATGCCACATCACTCGGCTAATTTTTTGTATTTTAGTAGAGACGGGATTTCACCATGTGGCCCAGGCTGGTCTTGAACTTCTGACCTCAGGTGATCACCTGCCTCGGTCTCCCAAAGTGCTGGGATTATAGATGTGAGCCACCCAACCAGGCTTTTTATTTTATTTTATTTTATTTTAATTTTTTCTGAGACAGTCTCACTGTGTAGTCCAAGCTGGAGCGCAGTGGCCCGATCTCCGCTCACTGCAGCCTCAGCCTCCCGGGCTCAAGCGATTCTCGTGCCTCAGCCTTCTGAGTAGCTGGGACTACAGGCGCGCACCACCATGCCTGGCTAATTGTTTGTATTTTAGTAGAGATGGGGTTTCACCATGTTGCCCAGGGTGGTCCCGAACTCCTGAGCTCCAGTGATCCACCCGTCTTGGACTCCCAAAGTGCTGGGATTACAGGCGTGAGCCACTGTGCCCGGCCGGTGTGTGCTTTTTTAATGATGTTTTCATACGGAATTCCAGTTAGCCTCTTAATCGAACATAATGGTACACTAAATACAATGGGAAACAAATATGAGATTACTTTCATTATGTATACCATATACCATACTCTTATCAGTTATGTTGGTTCCCTATGACAGTGGCTTTGGAGCAGGGCACGGGAGAAAACTGGATAGGAAGGTGCTTTGTATCTTCATTAGTTGAACTGATAGAATTTCCAGAATGGGTTTATTCTCTTTTTTTTTTTTTTTTTT